TTGTACAACAACATAAATAATAATCGGCACGTTTAGGCCTATATTTTTCAAAACAAGCTTCAACTAAATATCGATTTGTCATTAAACTTCCGATATTATTGAAAAATAATTCTAAAATCGATAATTTAAAGTAAATACATTCGCAGCCCGCGGTTAATTTCCGGTTGATTTACAAACTGGTCATGTACTTTATGAATGGAAGGACCAGAGTTAAGATAAGTCTGTTTGGCTGGAGCTTTAGACTGCGGGGATGTTGACAGCAAAAGTCAAATAAACGAACGACGTATGATTACAGGAAAATAATACGCCGAATCGTGTGAAGGAAGGGGCGAGTGGGGGAGGGGGGGGGGATGTGGTGGCTCAACTTATATACTTTTTCCAGTGTCCGCCCCCTCCCCGAAAATTCTACCCCCGCCCCCGAAAATTTAAAGTACCCCCACCCCTCTCCGTGGAGGAAAAAGTCTGAAAGAAACACTGGTCGCATTTTTAGATCATACAAATTTTCGGGGAGGGGGCGGACACTGGAAAAAGTATATAATTATATTTTGTTGAATGGGACGGTAGACATGTTTTGGGGTGTGTGTGTGTGTGGGGGGGGGGGGGTTGGTTTTAGTTTAGAGAAAATAGACAGCACTATCAACCTAGCGCCCGTTGTATCCTTCCTCAACGGGCCATTTTTCTCGTTAACGTATATTTATAAATCGCGTGACCAATGTGATTTGTATTTCTACAGAATATTACTAATTTTAAACAGAATTTTTGTTTTCAAAATGTAGGAACGTTTCGAAAAACACGTTCGAGCTAACGTCTTGAAAAATATTTAAGCGGAATGTTTATTGATTTCTTGATATTAAAATCCGTTTATTCCATTGTTATAAAGTCGGATTTAGCCAACATCCGACGGGTCACGTTCAAGTGTCTATTTATACTCACGCATTTCACACAAACCCGTGTGTGTTATTTGCACCAAGACACAATACATTTTCTATGAAATGACGCTGTTTTGTCATGTACACGTTTTTTTTTAAAGAGTTGCGGAACTTTTCTCACGGAGTAGCGGCCCTTTGTTCAAACGGAATTGTCGCGACATGGACGACATTTGTGGCATTAACTCCAATCAAACCACGACCCATGATGTTCTATACATGTCTATGGGTTCACGAACTAAAGAGGAAGTCTGATAACTCGAGAACTACATTTTTTAGAGCTTTTGATTGCAGGCATTAATAGACAGACATTCACGTTCAAATAAAAAGCTAACGAAAATGCTCTGTCCGAATTATACTGCATAGCAATAATATTTCATTTTTGTTTTTCGTTTTTGTTTGGCTACATTTAAACGCAAAGTATAGTTTGATGTTAATATAGAGGCTATAATAGAATTAGAACTACAGTTAGAGCTACATTTTAAATGGCTCCTTTAAAAGTTTAAGCATAGTGTAGTTAACATTAATATTTGGTTACGTTTTTATATGGCTTATAAAATGGCTTATAAACCGATAACAGCAGAATTTATTGATAGTGTTCGTTGATAAATTGTGAAACTGTCCTTTATTTTCTTTTGTATTCATACAAAGCATTGTTAGATAAAACGTGTTATTCCATCCCCGCTACTTACATTCACAAATAGACACGGGTGAAAGCTCTTATAGAAAAACTACATTTAGGGTTGCATTTAGTATCCACTCGTGCTATATATGTTAAGGTTTAAGCCCTTAGTTGGCCTAAAAAGTTACAATACAATATATCAGCACACATACCGATAAAATTGGACTTGGACATTGCCTCTTTGTCAAATACCTCCATGTTATTATCCCCTTCCAGAAATTCGTTATTTTTCACAATTTAAAGTGAAAAACCATACATTTTTTTTCGCATTCTATAGGATGCCTGAAACGGGCTGAGAGAGTACAAAATAAATCGCAATTTGTACAATCTCCAAAATTACTCAGAGAAGCCGATATATATATATATATATATATATATATATATATATATATATATATATATATATATATATATATATATATATTTCTTATTCAGCTATTATTTAACTTAAAACTCGTAATCAGTGACCCCAACAAATGAGCAGGGACTACCCCCAATATACAGGAGTTTTGCCTATATAGAGAGATCTTATAGGCAGTGCTAGTACAACAGCTCTGGTCCACTCATTTCTTACAGACTTTTTCTCCGGGGATAGGGGGGGACTTGAAACTTTTTTTTTAGGGGGGGGGGGGGGGGACGACGACGACTAAATTTTAAGGGACGGACAACTGTTGTATATTTTCTATATAATTCTATTTTTTCCGGGGGGGGGGGGGGGGGGGGGGGGGGCGTGCTTCGCCTGAACGAAAAAGAATTTATATGAACTCTTTGATGTCGGCGGAAAACACCAAGGACCGTAACTGCTTTAAAGTGAATCGTGCTCGTTTGAAGGTTAACGATCTTTCAATAGCATACAACGAGTGTTTACACTATAAAGCCATTCTGTTATGAATAGCGTCCGTTATAAAAGATGCATGGTTAGTTTAACTTTTAATATAAATTAAAATAGTTCATTTTGTTTTCTTATTATATACATTAATTCTATACATTCACGTTTCAAAGATAATAGTTTCTTGCTAATAAAAAAAAAGTTTAAATGTGCTTATTATTACTTTTATTTTTGCAGTCGTATTTCAAAGAGAGCTTTGAAATAATGGGAATATTGACCCACTTCTAGAAGTCTGAATGGGCGTATAAGATTAAACGAAAATGTTGGACTGGACAAAGTTTCTGTTCTATAAAGACTCCAACGTTGACTAGGTGGGACGTTTTTTTTTTTTACTTTAATTTATCGCTGCCTTAAAATATAAGAATCGGTGCGTATTTAATTAGCGCTGGGAAAATACTGTACACCCCCCCCCCCAACCCTCCGCCTCTGTGCTTGTTCGTTGTTTAGCTGGAATACGGCTGGACTGTTTTCTGTATGTATGTAGCCAAGTCACTCTTGTGGCTTAAAAAACTACATTAGCTAATCCAACCACTGCCCTAATTCACCACAACAGCGAATTCCTTAAACAACGAACACGGAGTTCCCTACATCAGTAAGTAAAAATAAAGAACCTGATCGAGCTTAACGGTACATGGGGCAGGCGAAGTAGAGTTAGCCTGTTTATGCCTTGGCGTATGAAGGATGGACTCGGGGACATTGTACAGATATGCTTTAACATCCGACCACGCCGTTCCCATCTCTACATCAGCATAGCCCGCCTTATAACCCCCCCCCCCCCCCCAACAGCTCACCCCCTCCTCACCCACTTTTCAAAGCGAGTCGAAAATTGTATCATTCTCACACCGTTCTAATGTTACATACAGTGTTTCAACCAGATATTTTTCTCCGAGAAGGGAGGGGGTGGGGGACTTGATACTTGTGGGTGGGGGGGGGGGATACTTTACTTTCCGTGAGAGTGGGGTGGACACTGGTTGAAGTGTAGGCCTAGTACCTCTTGTATATAAACTCTTTTTCGTTCGGGGGGGGGGGGATCGATTAGATCGGCTGTTAACATAACCCATTTCATATCAAATTCTGTAATACTTGTTTGTCCGCCCTTCTAAATAATATTGATAATCTAACATTCACCTTACAGCATCATAACCACTTATTACAGCACTTCATAAATATTCACCAAAACTAAAAACTCTACGGGGTTGATTCGCTTGTTTCTTATTAAGTTCATGTATACAACATTCAATTTATTGAATTGAAAAAATCGTGTTTAACATAGTTATACCTCAGTGCTACCTTTACGTTGTGTGGTTTCCGTCAGTGTCATCCGTTTCCCATAAAATGTGGCTATCATCCCAAACCTGACATCTAGTGTCAACCAAAAACCAATGCATGCTAGTGTCACCAAATGCCATCGTGCATGATATCACCTAATGTCACATGTCAGTGTCATCAACCGCTATTATACTGCTCGCGTCATCCGGTAACACTACATTTTGGTGTCATTCAAAACTGTTTTTTTTTTAAAATAAAATTCCTGACAACTTCAATGAAAACTTTTTCAAACATTATTAGACCACCAGCAATTCTGAAGAAAGTTTGTATTCTGGTCAACGGGGCAGGTGGAGCAGAGTTCATCTATTTCTGTGTCTCGAAAGAACTTTTTCTCCGGGAGCGGAGGGCAATTGAAGACTTGAAATTTTGGGGAAGGGGGGTGGACACTGGTAAAAGTATATATTTTCTATATTAATTCTATTCCGTTCAGGGGGGGGGGGGGGGCGACGCCAAAAGGTGCCTGGAAGAAACACACACAACCCAGTTTAAGGTGACATTTATTTTTAATACTGGGTTATCTACCTACAAAAATTATACTAGCAACGAAGAATGAATTTGTTGATGTTAAATTATTAATCAACACAGTTTTGGGGACAAATTCTCTTGAATACTTGTAATAAATAAAAGTATTGGATAGATTTTGACCAAACAATCTGTTGGCCATTTCCTAATAAATTAATGCCTTCTTCAGTAGGAGGCTTCAGCATGTTTTTAGTATTTGTTGATAACAGCAACTGTCTGTGTAGGTTTTAGGTGACAGTTGCTGTCTACATGCAAGTCTTAGGTGACAGACATTAAAAGCCAGATAACCCCACCCAACCCCCTTCCCCAACAAAAACTGACTGCCCGCAGTCAATGACAATCTTTATAACTTGCATGATCACTCTTTCAACAAATAATTTTTAAGTCGTGGCACAATGACAAAGTCGTAGACTAACATTAACAAACCATCCCATTCCATGAGTGAATGGGATTCTTTTCTGTGGAAAAATTAATGGATAATTTTCCTCTTACGAAGCGTATGGTTACATCTCTGAGAAATGTATCCAATAATCCCTGACAATCATAAGAGCATTCAAAGTTGGGATCAACATTTTCTTGGCTTTATGATATATGTAAAGATAATGTAATCCACACTACTTGTAAAATGAACAGTAAATTAGTAAAACAAAAGTGACCAAAAATGTTTTTTATTTTTTAAAATTATCTTCATTTGAGGATGCATACAAAATAAACTGCTTTCAACAAAACATGAAAAACAAACCAGTCACGCTTTCTAAATGTAGTGCACAGATATTAAGCAAGAACTTTAAAAAGTGAAAAATATTAGGTTCTAAAACTGTATATGATCCTAATCGTTGATATTTAACTTATGCATTTTTGTTTTAAACTCTTATAGGCCTACATAGTCTATTTATAATACAATCTGTATGAATGTTTAAAAATGAACGTCACTTGAAATACTTACACAACATAGAAAATGGAAACCATTAATAACTTTAAACAAATATAACTGTCGAACTCTCACTACAACATAGTTTTATGATACGGAGGCCAGATAATCTTTAATCTCTGACGGAGATAGGCGCCTGAAACCATTGACGTCACAGATCCCTATCTCAATGTTGTCCTCTGTCATCTGGCCCTCAAAGCTCTCTTTCAGTGTTAAGATGGCGGTGTGGACTGCATCCTCAAGTTCAAGGTTATCACTGTACCTGTTGATGAATTAAAAAAAATATATAAGTAAACAGTGGGGAATAAAACGGAAGTTGAAAAAAGTATGTTAAATTGGTAAATATGATGAATAGGGGAGTTTAGAAAAATATTCCATCTGTAATGAAAGTAAGTCAAATTTACGTTTAAGTAAAGATTTAAAAACAATGTATAATGCTTTCATGATATCATAAACATTGCGACTAAAGAAAACGCTGTTACCTTTTTTCTAAGAAAGTTTTTCCATTGACGTGGTTTCTTCCCATGGCTGTAGCTTTCCATGCAAAATGTGCACCCTGCAGAAAAAGACAGTTAATAAAAAATGCACTTTCCATTTTGAATCATTATACTGCAAATGTCATCACCTATGTTCAAGTTCAAAGAATAAATTACAACTTTGGCCTCAGTAAGGTCTATTTATAAAAAATAAATGAAATATCAAACTTGTTATACATGTTCTTAATCATAAATATAGCCCAAGCAAAACATAAAATATTTTAAACAAATGTAAAAAACATAATTTAGTCATGTAAGAACCATTCTATAGAAAAATTCTAATGAACAGAGAAAAGATACTTACAGAGGGATCACACTGATAGAGGTAAGGTTTAGCTTCATCATGGTTCCACCCTGCTAACAACAGAGATACACCAAACGGCCTCACACCACTGTCATAAGTTAAAAATAAAACAACCAGTTATTAAAATAAGATTTATCAGTAGATTTAACAGTAAAATATATAAAAAAGCAAACAGAAACATTAAAATGATCAACAGAGATATGCTAAAATGGCTAAAATTAGCATACAAAATAAACATATTTTTTAATAACATCTGCAATTACTTCCTGAAGATACTTTGGTCAACAAAACATGCTAGAAGAGACAATATTTACCCAGATTGTGTGAATTCTTGCATGACATTAGCCACTTTCTGAACAAGCTGGTCTACTGGTATTTGTTCTTGGTAGGTCAAAAAATATTGTGAGGCTAACTTCCTGGCTCTTCGTGTCAAGACCCTGACAACAAAAACATTTAAGTGAAGGATTATACAATGTATATAAGTTTACATGTGTTGAGCATTAATTATAACATGTAAAAATGAATTTTACTTTTTAAGTTCATAGACAGAGTAATTCAGTATCTGTGGGTATTTTTTATATGTAGCTTGGCTGTTTTTATGCTGAACTGAACATAGAGATATTAGAACAATGACATAAAATGAACTCACCCCAACAACAATATAGAGAGCATGTAGGCTTACACTAAACTTTTACTTAACACTTAAATAATGGAAAATTTTGACAAAGATACTAAACATAACTTCCATACTGCTCTGACATGATCACAAATTATCTAGAAATTTACTGAACAGATTACTACTTTTCCTTAACCCTTAAAGCGCGCGCCACGATCGTGGCTTTGCGCGCTTTAAGGGTTAAGACTAAAATGTATTAAAAAAAATAGGACCTATAAACTTACCTAAAGTCAGGGCCCATACCACTGTACACCATTCCAATGCCTCTGGTCACTTGCTCAATCTTGTGTATGCTGTGCTCATCATACAGTACAGACTTCTGTTTTTTCTCTGTAGCCAGCACCACTCCATTGGTGGCTAAAATAAATAATATTATCTCATTTAAAACTTGATAAGGTCTTGTGCATCAAATGCAACTACCATACCTGAGAAACAAATGCCAGAAAGTCAGTACAAGCCACAGAACACACAAACTGTTCAAAAAGGCTGGTTTACCTTTAATCCCTACTGATGGGGCACCTGCACCCACTGCTGCTAAAGCATATTCTATCTGTACCAGTTTCCCTGAAGGACTGTAAAGAACAAAATGCATATTAATTAAATTCATTATCAAGAAGCTTTTTTTAAGACGCAGTATTGTTTAGGTACAGCAGCAGCTATTTACTGGTACTGGATAATATACATATCAATTTTTAAAACAGCTTAATTCAAGAATAAGTGAGGTTTTCTGCGTATTTTGCCAGAAAAGAAATTAAAATTTGCTTCCAACAATAAAAGTCAAACGTAAACATGGGTTAAGCTGGAGTTGCTAAAAAACTTTAAATATATGACTATGAAGTACCAAAATTGCAAAGTTTGGTAGGGTATTATTAGATTGACCTTGTTAGAATAAAAATGGCAATCATTCTGTGCTCAGTTTGAGCAACCGCCAAAAGATCACTCAAACAATATTTAAAAAAAATAATGTCATCACTATCGGTATGGAAGCTGTTACAGTTGTAGGCTCTTTCTGTACTAATATAATTTTTTTTTTTCAATTGACACACGCTTTCTGCCAATTTTTGTAGTGTATTTTTTGAAGTGGGGACACAATGCAGCTTGAATGAAAATAAGCATATACTAGACTTAGTATTATTAACGGAGTTTTTTTTTATACTAAATTTGCTTAATAATTTATCGTGCTTTCAAGTTTAACATAGCCTAAATGACGTCACGCTTTTTTGACGATTTTTTCCTCCCCGCACCCTCAGTCAAAAAAAGCCAGACCCCCCCCCCCCCCTATAATGATGTCACACCTTAGCCTACAACCCCCCCCCCCTCAAAATTGCAGTTGAATTTTTCTTAAAACATCGATATTTTTTCCAAAATCTTGTCAGAACTCTGTCAACATAGAGTATTTTAATCAACTCCTACGACAATTTATTAAAAGTTTTCTAAAACGCGAAATAACGGCTAAAACTCGTTTTCTAACATTGCTTTTTTATAAAGAAAAAGTGTGACGTCACACCTCTGGATCCCCTCTCCCTCATCACAAAATTACGGACCCCCCCCCCCTCTACGACGTCATTTATGGACGACCCCTAATTAAATTGTGATAATTCTAATTGATTTCATGAATTTTAATTAAGCTGATTATAATGTTTTCACTGGCCATCATTGATATATTTAAATTAAGCTAACCATTGTATCCATTATTAAGATTTAAGATATCTGATAAAATTGTATTAGTCTTGGGTCTAGGCTTACAATACTAACTAGTACTTAGTAAACGAAATACGCATGGACCAGGACATGTGTGCTCTGAGCTCACGTTGTGGCGGGCGATTGCGCGAGAGAGTGAGATACGTTTCAAGCGTGACCTGTGTCGATATTTGGAATGCATATTTCTCGCTCTCTAGTGATCAATTTTAATGTGCTGACATTTTTTAAAAAGAAAAATCAAACAGGTACAAATCTTAATTAAATATATTAAATCAGATATTTATATTAGCCTTGGTCTACATTATTATGAACTAATTAGCGCTTGGGCTAACTATGTAGAGACTAGATTTAGCACATGCTCGCGTTGTGCTGTGAGCTTTTTCTCGCCGGTTGACAAAAAAACGCAAGAGGGCTGGCTATGTTAAGTCTTGGCTCACATGTGATAATCTTTTTTTCATTTGTGATTTTTGTATGATTTGTGAATATAATAAAAGCTTTTTTCCCTTAAAAATTGTATTTTTAAGTGAGACTTTCATTTAATAAGCCTGATATGTTGTATTTGACAAAACTACGCGAGCTAGCGATCACGTCTGTCACTCGCGCTGCCTGTGATGCTAACAAGTGAGCGATTTTTATAATCGATGCCTGGATCATCGCGCCAGTACCAAGCCCGGTATGGGAGGAGGGTGAGGATTCATTTTAAAATGACATCGCAGTCATTTATAAATTGTAATTAATCAGTACTAAAATACACCGACTAATCAAAACACTAATATGAATGTCTTTAAAAAGTTTAGATATATATATATTTAAAAAATTTAAAACGCGATTATTTAGGTTCTTCATGTACACAAAATTATAGTAATAAACCGGGAGCGATCTTCCCCTAAACTTTCTCGAATATCTATCTATATATATAATTCTCTTCTGGGAGACGCTAGAAAACAAGCTGTAAACGCGCTCCCTACCATCCCCACCCCTACATGGTCTTAGTGAGCTGTGGTTCACGCTATGTTTACCTTCGTGGAGTCGGGTTTAGTGACGGCTATTAGGGGCAGATAATTTAGTTTGAAACGATTTTAAACGTTGGGGGGGGGGGGGGGGGTGGGGTGGGGGTTATGGTCCTTAACGAGCTACTTATAGTGTTTTAAAGAAATATTGAGCAAATACACCGACTATTCAAAACACTAATATGAATATCTTTAAAAAATTTAGATCTATATATTTAAAAAATTTAAAACGCGATTATTTAGGTTCTTCATGTACACAAAATTATAGTAATAAACCGGGAGCGATCTCCCCTAAACTTTCTCGAATATCTATATATATATATATAATTCTCTTCTGGGAGACGCTAGAAAACAAGCTGTAAACGCGCTCCCTACCATCCCCACCCCTACATTGTCTTAGTGAGCTGTGGTTCACGCTATGTTTACCTTCGTGTAGTCGGGTTTAGTGACGGCTATTAGGGGCAGATAATTTAGTTTGAAACGATTTTAAACGTTGGGGGGGGGGGGGGGGGGGTGGGGGTTATGGTCCTTAACGAGCTATTTATAGTGTTTTAAAGAAATATTTTCAGTGTCAGCGTTGGTACTGTCGAATACACAAATTATGAATTACTGAAAAGTAGAAAAAACAACAACTAAATAGCGGCATATGTTATGCCGCGGGCCGGCTCGTTCTTTTATAAAACAAGTTAATAAAAAGTCTAGTGACAATTTAAGCGCAATTTCTTTATGTTATCCACAGCAATTTTAAATCGCTATGATTAAAACCCGCCCTCTTGTTTGTAAACATTAGCACGTGGAAAAAACGAGCGACGCGTAGCTCGCCTCTCTCTCTCTCTCTCTCTTGCCGCGCGCAGTGACGCGAACGATCCCGATGCTCAGTGTAAACATGTAGTAAATATCTAAATATAAACTTATTTGTTCTTAATTAATTTTTTGTGACCGAACGAAAGGATATTTTTGAAAACTTTCTTCGGCAATATTGTTCTAAATTATGGCAGGAATCGATTGGTAAATGTTTCAAGTCACTAAGTGGTCTGGGTTGCCGAGATATGGGCCAAAAACTGCATTTTTTTCGAGGTTTTTTGGCTTTTCCGGGAAATCCAGGAAGGAATTCCGGGAATTTTTTTGGCCCACAATCATCCTCGGAACTTGCTTAACATATTTGCTTTTGGAACTAGTCCTCGATATTGCTTCGTTGAGGAGGAGATACGATCTAAAGCTGCGCACATCCATACGGAAATGACGAGTTAATAATCGCAATTCCTGTAAGGACAATTGCGCTAAAAACAGGGGATGGTAACTCGGGATATAGACATGAATTTTAATTCATTTTAAATACTTAAACTTTTTAAAATAGAATAGAATCTCGTAGAAAAAAGAATTGCACACCTGTGAACGCCAAATAAAACGTGCATAATAGTGCGGAATATTATTAGTACTTTATAAATTTACATTAGTTTTTTGAGAAATTGGAAGTAGCGTAAATTAGTACTTTCAATCAACGGAAATTACTCAAAATTTGACAGAAGGTAGAGAATTAGATCTTTTACTTACATGTGAAATTTCATTTATCTATCTGAAATAGTACTCAAGTTATAGGCTTTTTAAAAATTCCAAGTAGAAAAAGTACATTTTCCGGTTATCGGAAATCGCTCAAAAGTTGATCAGGATCTACGATTTTGATAAAATACTTATATATGAAATTTCATCAACCTAGCTGTAACGGTACTCAAGTTATCGTGTTTACACACAGACACACACACACAGACATACGTACAGAATTACTGTCCAGTTTTTACGACTCGATAACGCATAAAACGCCACAATGTTTATATATTTGTATTTATAATTTTTGCCTGATTAAAATAAGTCCTCTATACTCCGGATGTGATGAAGGACTGAGGTGAAAACTGTCAAAATCTTATGTTATTTTTGTGCACGATTACAATACTTTCTCTATACTTCGTATATACGAAAAAGTAAAAAGGTTACATAAATAAGTTACCAATATCCCTTTGATTACGTTTTATTTCCGTATACCTACAGTTACACTAACCCCAACCCCACATGATCATAACGAACCTCCATAGCCGTTTTTGCGTCAACTTTTTGGAAGTAGTTGTAATAACCGTTGCCACGGAAAAACAAGTCTCGGCTACACTGTAAGGGGTCGTCCATAAATGACGTCACACTCCTAGTGGAGTCCATAATTTTGTGACGGTGTGTGTTGAGAGGGAAGGGGGGGTTCAGACTTTTTTGCATTATAAAAAAGCAATGTTAGAAAACGAATTTTAGCCGTTATTTCGCGTTTAAGAAAACGGTTTTAATAAATTGAAATAGGAATTGATCAAAATACTCCATTTAGACAGAGTTCTGACAAGATTTTGGAAAAAATATCGATGTTTTAAGAAAAATTCAACAGCAATTTTGAGGGGGGGGGGGTTGTAGGCTGATGTGTGACGTCATTTGGGGGGGGGGGGGGGGTAAAATCGTCACAAAAAAGCGTGACGTCAATTATGGGTGACCCCTAAGGCACCAATAATGAAAATGCTTTATTTCAGCCCCAAATGAGCTAGAACCATCACATTTAGTGTCTTGTTGGTTACAGAAAGATCTTAATTTTCAATTTGTATTAAAAAACAAGTTAATTAAAAAAGTCTAGTGACATGTATGCGCAATTTCCTTATGTTATCTAAAAATAGCTCTGACGTATAATGCTGGGGTGCGTTCAAGCTAGAAGAACGATCGGTTTGTAGGTGTTTATGTAATTTTAAAATTTGTGACCGAACGAGAGGATATTTTTTAAACTTTCTTCGGCAATATTGTTCTAAATTATGGCAGGAATCGATTGGTACATGTTTCAAGTCGCTAAGTGGTCTGGTTGCCGAGATATGGGACAAAAACTGAATTTTTTCGAGGTTTTTTGGCTTTTCCGGGAAATACATGAAAGAAACCCGGAATTTTTATGGCCTATGCTAATTCTCGTAACTTGCTTAACATAATTGCTTTTGGAACTAGTCATCGATATTGCTTCGTTGAGGAGGAGATACGACTTAAAGCCCGGACACACATTCATCCATACATTCATTCATCCATCCATTCCCAGAAATGACGAGTTAATAAACGCAATTCTCCAGAATGGAAATTGCGCTAAAAAAAATTAGTGAGACAGTCTACTGGGCAAATAATTATCAGATCGAGGAATTCTTTGTTACCTCTTGATAACTTTATATATAGCTAAGTTTGCAGTTTATTATATATTATGACGAATGCATCAATAGACTATTTAAAAAAAATAAAAACTAAGTTGGCCTAGATTCTAGATTTAATTGAAAAGCTGATCTTGCGCTATCATCATTAGCGGGTCAGAGATATGAACGTCCACACAATCGGACAAACGACTCTGCCTACCCCTGACTAAACTGAAATCGGATTGAAACAGTGGATGGAAGGGGAGGAGTTGCGGAAGATGGGCGGAGACAAGAATTAATCGATAAGGCTAAAATTGGAATATTCTAGCTCGATAAATGTGAAACTCTTGACAATCAACCGAAAGTTACCATATTAAAATGAAAAAGAAAACCAGTCCTACTGTACGCGAACGATGGATTAGTGTATGAAATAATCTTATGGACTGAGAATATGAATATCTGAGTTATTTACCGTCGACTGGGAAAAGGAATATTTGAGTCATTTCCCGTCGACTGGAGAGAGGGATATTAACTATTATTTAGAGCTTTTTTAATCGGAACTATCATTTATACATATTATATTATGGTGAAAATAAGAAATCAAAACATGGTCGAACGTGACTGAGTGTACCTATGCGCGACTGCCGTGGGGATGCCCGCTATACTTAAAGAAAAAATAATGACTGAAAATTGCGATGGAGTATAAATATAGATCTAATGATTATTGGCTTTATTGATCTAAGCTAGATTCTAGATAGATTTGCCATTTCACTGATTCACAAGACTATTAGAACGCAACTGCCTTTTCACCTGGTAATTCTTTACTTCTTAAAAATGGTGAATCGATATTGCTAGCATAGCGACCTACAAAAATTATGCATGTTTATTATTAAAAAAATGACTATTATCAGGCCTAATTATTTGATCGCACACTTAATCATTTACGCTGAAATGAACATAACATTTATATAAACAAAATAAGAAAGCACTGCTCACTAAATCTTAGTCTCAATAAATGTTATCAGAGACCAATCTCTGAGAGAAGTTATTCCCTGTATTAAATAATGGCCGTACCTGTTTGGCAGAGGTGTTGTGAAATTCAAGATGCGACATGGCGAAGGGGTAGGCCTAAACCCACCCGATAATTACGCAGGGAGGTGGTAAGATGCGAAGCTATCTGCGAAAATTTTACCGCGACCGATTTACAGTGATATTAGATGCCGACTTCAAAGAAGTTTCGTTTACATAGTTAAAACTTCCGATTTTTCTGTTGCTAGACACTCTGATGTTTAGTCAACTTCACCATCTTTTGTGTCGACTTAGAATACCACCTTGTTCGAACCGCCCGAAATACCGCCGACGATAGATCAACTTAGATCGAGATATTTCTTTTGTATGAAACACCGAGACCACCGGCCCTTGTGTTTACTTTCCCGCATTGGCTATTTTAGAAAGAAATGTGTACATGATACTACAAGCTTTATACTTGATACTAAAGCATTGAAACTTGACAGAAAAAAACAGATGGATACATGTTTGCAGCACAGGATTTATCGTCTAGATGAAATTAAATTAAAAATCAAAACGGCAAAATTAAAGTAACGTGTCGACCGCTGTCCGACTGATAGTTCTGCCGAGTTGATCTACACACCTAGCACAGCTGATCACGTGACGCCGGACCGTTGACCGCATTGGATGATTCTATAAATAACTTTTTAACACAGGCCGCGGCGTACAACGCTCTCTCGTCAACTCTAGTGTTTACTTTCCCTCTGCCTATTAAAGAAAATATTATCCTAAAGCATTGAAACTTGACAGAAAAACAGATTCAATGTGTTTAAAGCACATGAATTATAGCTAAGGTTAAATTATTACACTTTCTCAGAATCATACTGATCTCGAATCCAAACACAGAGATGTGAACGTAACCCGAATACCTTGCCGTTGTATCTCATCAACTACACATCGGCCTAGTAGATTTCGTTGATCTAAAACAAAAGTTAAGTTTTATTTCAAAATTAATCTCCATCTCCTATTTTAACTAGTCTCAGCGGCCTCTGTCCGATAAATCAATTATGCTGTAACCTTCTACCTAAGAAATAAAGCATAGCAATCTTATCAACAGTTGCGATTGGTGAAGGGGGGAACATTTTCTTAACATATTCTTGGTACTTCGTCATACATGTCTCCGAACGTATCAAGCCTAGGACGATGAAGGTTTATTTATTAAGTTAACTAAAAATCACCACCTTAAATTTATATATTTTAAAAAAAAAGTCCAAGTGTGTGATTGAAAGAGTCTGGACAAGAATGTTCGCGAGGTCACCAGTTGTGCACATTGTAGGTCTCGCCGTCAGCGCGGATGAGGAGTGGTTTGTTATCTAGACGTGTGTAGCAGCGTCCACAAGTTCACTCAACTGTAATGAGAACTGCGTATGTCTCCCTCCGCGCATTTGTTATCCACGTAAAATAATGCTTCAAATAAAATCGCCTTTTCATTTTTAATTTTTGGATAAATAAAATAAAGAAAAGATCGGTGGATACAAGTTTTGACTTATATTTTAAATAGTAAAAAAAAAATCGGCAATTTGCCTCAAATGGAAAAAAAAAGAATTCCTTATAAAAAAAAAAAAAAAAAAACCCCACTGAATGTTACAACTGTAGATGCCAAAACGTAATTTTAAATTTACTATTTAATAGCTAGAATTTTTGTGTGTGTGTAAACAATGGTATTTTAGTGTTTTGTCTTCCCTACCACTAAAAGTACTTAACATTCTTCTGACACCTTTCATCAGGTTGGCGGTCTAGCTTACTGATACTGTATCTATCCAGCTTACTGTGTCCATGATCAGTAAGTTTACAGGGTTTAGTAATAAGATTGGTTGGTTAGCAGAGCTGGTGGTATTGCTATATTTATATATTAATTACTACAGGAAATCTACACACAGTCCAGTTTGAGCACATTTAAAAGCCAGATGTTATAAAGCTATAGAGAATTGACATGTTTAATAATATTTTGATCAATGCAATCTATAGGCCTATGTAGTTAATAAATTAAACAGGCTTAAGTACTAGCTATGTTTATAAACCAAAGAGTTTGTAAGCTAGAATCCAAAAAAGCACAATAGGCCAATGTGTGATACTTCATATTGAAATAACTTTTAAAATTGTTAATACTGGTAGGCATACATATAATTTGCATAAGCATATATATGTTATAGACATCTTAAGCAATTAGCAAACATAAATAACCGATAAATGTTTTTCGAATAATTACAATATTACTTTTGTAAATCACTAATTTTAATGTTAAAATGTTTTACACAATTTTCACACTTTGATCTTGATTACACAGATTAGCATCTACTATAATTCTATTGCTTGCATATGATCTTATAAGAAATTGAAAATCAAAACAGAAATAGGCCTAAGCCTAATAATAATTATAAGATAGGACTATACTAGCATATATCATATAACATGTTAACATAGTAAGTTAGGGAATCAAAGAGATTCTATCCAAACAGTATCCTCTTTGTATTTGTATAAAGAAAGTTGTGTTTACTATATAAGTATCAAATTAGAACTAGATCTAGATCTAACTGATGATGAGCAGATGTGATTTTTTATAAAAATATTCAGTAGGCTAACTATGGCACCATAGGCTATGGTACTATTTGAGGAAACGGTGGGATTACATAGCCTAGCCTAGATAGTTATGTAACACCTCTTCCTTCAGAAACTATAAAAATTTCATATAGTTAGCCTACAGCCTAAAACTGAAAATAGGCCAAATTGGTGTTTTAAAAATGTTATGCTATATACACGGGTGTTCTAAAAAAAACTGAAGGTGGGTATTAAACAATCAATGAGATTAGCAAGATTAAAATATGATCTGGAATGCTAAAATCTATAAAATACGAGAAATACGTAGATCGAGAAATTTGGCTATTGTAGATAGTAGGTCTCTAGGAGTCTAGCTAGGTTGATCTAACACTTTTTAATTTTAGTGAAAACAGCTTTCAATTTAAGTCCTAGAAATTTAGTTTATAAATATTGGTAAAAGTGGCAAGTAGCACAATTTTAAAGCTATACCATTGGCCCTAATTAATGACTAAACTAACCTAGGTCTAAAATACTAAATTAAAAAATAAATGACATGGCAAATTTGAAAAATAAAAAACGTCACTCCAATAATGCATAAACTCGAATAGGCCTGCTTCATTGTTCAGGGTATGAGAAGTAACAATTTTACATGTCGTTTCCTTAACATTAGTTTAAACATCTCACTAAGCTAACCACGGTTGATACATAATAATGTGCCTCTTTCAAACAAAGTTTTACCTAAAAGTTGTCAATGAAAAGCTGTAGCGTTCAGACATCTTGAAAATATGGAATTTTATGGTCCAGATTGAGCTTCCGGCTACCAGAACAAAATTTGAGAATTAAGCTCATGAGTTATGAGTCACTATGACTAAACTTAATTCTAGGAGCTGAGAATTTAAAAAAAAAAGCATTGTGTAAAGGTACTCTCATTATTATAAACGTATTTTCTTTGATGTAAATAGCGTAAAGTTTCATATCATTGTTGCATCTATTCAAGTAAAAACAAATTGTTCTAAATTTATAAACATATTAGTTTACATATATGTCATGGAAGATCTAGTTGAGAATTATTTATTGGGCTCTCATATTAAAATGTTAAGGAACTTTCACGATAGCGTTAATAAATCGATCAACATTGACCATGGAACGACACTCTATCGATCTATTTAAATTTAGCCCAGTATTAATCGTGCATCGCACGGTAATCCATTTATATAAACTCGTTAAAGTCAATAGATTGTATGCCTTGTATTCTAGCTTTTCCGTATATAGATAATTGATTTGGATCTAAAATGTAGTAGTAGTAGATTTTGTCTAGATGTAGTTATATGTAATATATTTTAGTATTTTGTTTGGTAATGCCACATCAAAAACATCATTTTAAAAATGGAGCCGCGTATAACCTAACCGCTAGATCTAAATAATATACATAAACTTAGAATTCTAGATATAGATCTAGATTCTAGATCTAGAATTCTAAATGTATGTATATTATCTAGATCTAGCGGTTAGGTATATATATATATATATATATATATATATATATATATATATATATATATATATATATATTATATATATATATATATATATTTATATATATATTTACAGAATATATAGGTATATATATAGGCATATATATAGGCATATATATAGGCATATATATACGCATATATATATATATATATATATATATATATATATATATATATATATATATATATATATATATATATATATATATATATATATATATATATATATATATATAAGGCCAGAGGCGTAGCGACCCTTTCCGGCGCCCGGGGACAAACTTTCAATTTGGCGCTCCCTCGGGAGCAAATTTTCGATTTGCACCCCCCCCCCCCTCGAACTTTTCATTTGCACCCCCCCTCAAACTTTCGATTTGCACCCCCCCTCAAACTTTCAATTTGGCGCCCCCCTAAGGTCGGCGCCCGGGGACATATGTACCCCCCGCCCCCCTCGCTACGCCTCTGATATAGGCATATATATTATAAGGGTGATTCTCGTCTAGCACAAGTTTGTTCAGAGTGAATATAGAAAGCTTGTAAGCGTGCAAAAATCGATATTTTGCCAACAATCGACGTTTTACAAAGTGCTGGGTCGATAAAAAACGTCGTTTTATTATATATATATATATATATATATATATATATATATATATATATATATATATATATATATATATATATATATATATATATATTTACAGAATATATAGGCATATCTATAGGCATATATATATATATATATATATATATATATATATATATATATATATATATATATATATATATATATATATATATATATATATATATATATATATATATATAGGCCTATATATATAGGCCAATATATATTTATTTATATATATATATATAGGCATATATATTATACTAGCCGTCCCGGCCAGGCCCTGCTCTGGCTTCTGTGAAAAACCTTTCTGTTAACGACCATTACCTGTGTGTTTAGTAATCATCATAAACCCGGCATTGCCCACCCAAACCACAACCAACCAAAACAACAAAACGCAAACATAACGCTAACACAATTACAAATACAAACGAAAACAAAAACCTAACAACAAACCCAACCACAACCACAAACACCAATACAAACACAAAGAAAAAACAAACAAAAAAGCAAACGAAAACAAAAACCTAACAACAAACCCAACCACAAACACCAATACCAACAAAAAAAAAACAAAAAAAAAACGAAAAAGCAAACGAAAACAAACCAAATCCAAACGCAAAACCAACCAAAAACACAAATACAAACCCAAACAAAAAAACACAAACAAAAACGAAAAAAGAAAGAACGAAAACAAACCAAATCCAAACGCAAAACCAACCAAAAACACAAATACAAACCCAAACAAAAAAAACACAAACAAAAACGAAAAAAGAAAGAACAAAAACGAACCAAATCAAAACGCAACCACTAACGCAAACCCACCTAAACACAAAGAAAACACTAACGCGAACATAAACGCCCGGGGCAGAATCGCCTGTTTTAGCTTAATAAACGACTATAGTACCCCAACTTATTCATAGTTTTTGCACTCACTTAAACGAACGCGCCTGTTTCAATTTAATGAACAATTATAATACTCCAAGCTTATCCGTAAAATACCTAAAACATTTGCACTTGATCAATCCCCGCTAATTATGTAATTATTTTTTTCCCAACACCAAAACAAAGTAATTAAAAAGTAAATGCTTTTCAACTAATGCAATGGGTTTCATAAAGGGAAGTAATTGTGTTTTGCCTAATTTATCAAAGGGAAGTAAGCGCTATAGGACTAAATAAAAACATAATTAGAATTTTTGTAAAAGATGATATTTTTTTTAAAACTTGTGTTTAATGAACATGCCGGCAATTATTACTATAATTTGAAAAATGAAAATGATTTCCCAACACTTTTAATAGTAATTTTTTAACTCATAAATTTAGACAAACGCGCACGATAATTGATCTAACACTTAAATCCGTAGAAATGCCAAAGACAAACATGCTTTACAGAATTGAGCTTTATATATTAGAAGGGTGATTCTCGTCTAGCACAAGTTTGTTGAGAGTGAATATACAAAGCTTGTAAAATGTAAACGTGCAAAAAATCGATATTTTGCCAACATGCATTTACAAAGTCCTGGGTCGATAAATAACGTCGTTTTATTCTATTTTGTCTTCACGCGTGTGTGTCTGTGTATGAACACGATAACTTGAGTATCCTTTCAGTTAGATAGATAAAATCAAATATATGCATATATTTTTTAGATCCTTTTCGTAGGTATCTTTCAACTTCAGAGGGTTTTTCGGTAACTGATAAGCAGAGGCGTAGCGGGTGGGGAGGGGGGGGGGGGTGGGCGGATCGCACCTGGTGACACCATTTAGGGGTGGTGACACCAAGGCAAAGTGACCTCCTTATATAATGTTATGTATTGAGTTTTTAAATTTTGCTAAATTTTAAATTTTTAGGTGCAATGAAATGGCAGTTTGCGTGTACCAAGGAAAAGGTATGCTGCAAAAACGTTTTCTAGACATTTGAATTTGAAAAAAAAAAGAAACACAGACTGCAATTGAAGTGCTCATTGTGCAGACGACGAGAGCCAGACGTCGGTGGAAATACGACAATTATAAGGTAAAATTCCAAGCAGGTCAGAGGCGTAGCGAGGGGGGGGGGGGGTACGTCATATGACCCCGGGCACCGACCTTAAGGGGGGAGGGCAAAATGGGTTAGAAAAACAAATTGAAAGTTTGAGGGGGTGGGGTTGCAAATTAAAAGTTCGAGGGGGGTGCAAATCAAAAGTTTTGGGTCGCATTTTTGGCGGAGGCGCAGGTGGAGGCGGAGGCGCAAAGGTTATTTAGTAAAATACTCCCTACCTGGCGGAGGCGCAGCGGGAGGCACACGCGCAGCCTGGGACAACGAGATATAGTAAAATACTCCCCCTCCTGGCGCTTGCGCAGGGGGAGGGTGAGGTGCAGGCGCAGCCTGGGACAATGAGATATAGTAAAATACTACACCAACTGGCGTTGAAAAAATTCAAATTAAAAACTCATTAAAATTAATAAACAAATTATGTAACTAGGTCACCGGTAGTAATTACGTCACAAGGTCACCCTCTCACCTGACCTACTGACCTACTCCCCCTGCGCCTGCTCCACCTGCTCCGCCGTCCCCTGCGCCAACACCAGTTGGCGTAGTATTTTACTATATCTCATTTTTCCAGGCTGCGCCTGCGCCTCACCCTGCCCCTCCGCCAGTTGGCGTAGTATTTTACTATATGTCATTGTCCCAGATTGCGCCTGCGCCTCCCCCTGCGCCAGCGCCAGGAAGGGGGTGTATTTTACTATATCTCGTTGTCCCAGGCTGCGCCTGCGCCTCCCCCTGCGCCTCCGCCAGGTAGGGAGTATTTTACTATATAAACTTTGCGCCTCCGCCTCCACCTGCGCCTCCGCCAAAAATGCGACCCAAAAGTGACCTGATATACTACTTATACTTTTGGGTAGTATATGTGCTGTAGCGATGTATATTATTTTGGTTAAGATGTATCTGTTCATGATGATTGCTGCCCTAACGAATAACATTGATGAACTGTATTCGTAGTATTATGTCTTTCTCCTTATTTTGTTAATGTTTTTAGCGCAATTTCCATTCTGGAGAATTGTTAGCGCAATTTCCATTCTGGAGAATTGCGATTATTAACTCGTCATTTCTGGGAATGGATGGATGGACGGATGGATGGATGGATTTCCGCAGCTTTAAGTCGTATCTCCTCCTCAACAAAGCAATATCGAGGACTAGTTTCAAAAGCAAATATGTTAAGCAAGTTCCAAGGATGATTGTGGGCCAAAATAATTCCGGAATTCCTTCCTGGATTTCCCGGAAAAGCCAAAAACCTCAAACAAATGCAGTTTTTGCTCCATATCTCGGCAACCAGACCACTTAGCGACTTGAAACATTTACCAATCGATTCCTGCCATAATCTAGACCAATATTGCCGAAGAAAGATTTCAAAAATATCCTTTCGTTCGGTCACAATTTTTAGCGCAATTTCCATTCTGGAGAATTGCGTTTATTAACGCGTCATTTCTGGATGGATGGATGGATGGATGAATGTATGGATGAATGTGTGTCCGGGCTTTAAGTCGTATCTCCTCCTCAACGAAGCAATATCGATGACTAGTTCCAAAAGCAATTATGTTAAGCAAGTTACAAGAATGAGCATAGGCCATAAAAATTCCGGGTTTCTTTCATGTATTTCCCGGAAAAGCCAAAAAACCTCGAAAAAAAGCAGTTTTTGGCCCATATCTCGTCAACCAGACCACTTAGCGACTTGAAACATGTACCAATCGATTCCTGCCATAATTTAGAGCAATATTGCCGAAGAAAGTTTTCAAAAATATCCTCTCGTTTGGTCACAAATTTTAAAATTACAAAAACACCTACAAACCGATTGTTCTTCTAGCTTGAACGCATCCCAGCATTATACGTCAGAGCTATTTTTAGATAACATAAGGAAATTGCGCATAAATGTCACTAGACTTTTTTAATTAACTTGTTTTTAAAACTATTTAAACTGAGCATCTTGTAGGCCTAGGACGATATTTACTACTTGTTTAAACTGAGCATCGTGTAGGCTTTTTCCCCCTTTGATGCGTAGCTGGACGCGTTCTGCGGTACACGCTGCCATTGGCCAGACTCGCGCAGATTTCGCGAGGGGGCGGAGACTAGCTCTGCTCGTGTGGAGAGAATGAAAAGGGGTGATCGCGTCTCACCATTAGAAGAAGCGAAGCGGTGAAGTTCCAAACCAAGCACACCGGCTCAGGCAGTCGCTAGTGAGAGGTAACGTCTACTTGTTTAAACTGAGCATCTTGTAGGCCTACTCATTAAAATAAAACTATTTCCGTTGATATAGGTTAATATAGTTGTCTTTTTTTAGCGCAAAGAAATATCCTTTCGTTCGGTCACAAAAAATTAAAAATTGTTATGGATAACATAAGAAAATTGCGATTAAATTGTCACTAGACTTTTTATTTACTTGTTTTTCCATCTTCACTGCGTGTTTTAAAAAGGTAATTACAATGTGTTATGCTGTGTATTTTTACTTTCTCGCATATACGAAGTATAGAGAAAGTATTGTAATCCTTGAAATTTTAACAATTTTCACCTTGTTACACCTCAGTCCTTCATCACATCCGAAGTATAGAGGGCTTATTTTAATTGGGCAAAAATTATCAATCCAAATTTATGAAAATTAAGAGGTTTTATGCGTAATCCTGTCTGAAAAACTGGGCTTTGCAATTCTGTCCGTATGTCTGTGTGTGTGTCTGTGTGTAAACATGATTACTTGAGTACCGTTACAGCTAGGTTGATGAAATTTCATATATAAGTATTTTATCAAAATCGTAGATCCGTATCAACTTTTGAGCGATTTCCGATAACCGGAAGTGGTACTTTTTCTACTTTGAATTTTTCAAAAGCCTATAACTTGAGTACTATTTCAGATAGATAAATGAAATTTCACTTGTGAGTAAAAGATCTAATTTTCTACCTTCTGTTAAATTTTGAGTAATTTCCGTTGACCGGAAGTACTAATTTACGCTACTTCCGATTTCTCAAAAAACGAATGTAAATTTTTAAAGTACTAATAATATTGTGCACTATTATGCACTTTTTTATTTGGCGTTCACTTGGTGTGCAATTCTTTTGTCTACGAGATTTTATTCAATTTTTAAAACTTTAAGTATTTAAAATGGATTAAAAATCATGTCTATAGCCCGAGTTCCCATCCCCTGTTGTTTTATAGAAGAATATTCGAGAAAGTTTAGGGGAGATCACTCCCGGTTTATTAGTTGTCATATTTAGTGCGTGTTGTTGTTTTTATACCCACAGCCCAAATAGCACGATTTTAGGTTTGTCTATGTTTCTTGTAAGAGGGAAAATTCAAGAGTAACCAGAAAATAATATCTGTCATAAAAATTTAATTAAAGATCACATTTCATTACTTAACAATTTATTTTACAATTTATTTTTCGAAATGAGTGTCATTAACGCTTACTTTTTCATATTTTAAATACCTTTAAACATTAGCCACACAAAACAATCTATGTATCAAATGATGCTTTGGGGATTTAATCAATATCTCGTTCATGGTAGTGTATAAATGACGTCATCTTCACGATCTTGGGGGTGGGGAAGGGTGGGGCGTGAGTCAGAACTAGTCGCTTCTTACACTTAAACTTTAAGCAGAAGTTTTTAAAATATAAATTTAAGTACTTATGTCGCATTTTGATAGTTCTTTTTTTAAATGGTAAATTGGAATTAAAATCAACCCCCAATTTTGACCCAAAAAAAGAATATAAAAACAAAGTAATATTTGTATTGGATAGGGTTAAGTCGGTTGAAGCGTGACGGGTTTACCTTTTGTGTGTGACAATGGGGAAGGGGAGGGGGGGGGGTAGGAGTTAAAATCGTAACCGTTAAAAATAATGCGTTGATTCATTACAGGACGACGCCGTGCTAAGATGAGATTGTGATGCTATCATTTTGTTCACACATCTTCCATACAGCTATATGTATTGGTTATATCCCCTTTACATTGACCAAAACAAAACTTCAATTGGGATGGTAGGGAAAAGGGGAGGGGACAACTGCGACGTCATTTTTTAGGTCGATCTGGCATTGTGTAGGGGGTTGAGTGTGGAGGAGTAGCAGAATCGGCAAAAAAGTGACGTCATTATTGGACGCCCATTAATGATACTACACGCTTAACCAAATCTTTAAATAGAAGATGATTAGAACTAAATTACCGATAAGGATAAGATTTACTTTTAGTTTAGTTAATTTTTTTAGGAGCTTTACTGTATTAATCGAGTCACGTGTTTACTTGAATGATAGCTCTGTCTGTGGGAATGAGTTTGCGAGAGACAGATTTTTTGGAAGACAAAAAAATATTCCCTAACCCAGATATATTTTAACAGCTGATCTCATTTCAGTATAGATGCCAGATTAAAAAAAGCCTGTTAATTCAATTTTTTTTAATGGTACACTGTCAAAATCGTAAGTGACAAAACAACCACGATAAAACTACAGCAAAACGTCAATAATATTGGCACTCGATAAAAGGGAACCCAAGCAAAAAAAGCCACCGACAGAAAAGCCTCCAACGAAACTGCTCCACACACCAACTCCACAAAATCCCCCATGACTCTAATGTTCTGCTAAATAGACGTATGCGTAAAAGATAAATATAATTATTGTTATATTAGAGAAGACATTTGAGCTGATTCATACATATAGCTATTTGTTAAGATTGTATAATAATGTATTAAATAGATTGACTTTACATTTTAAGGCTATTTTTAAAACCAAAGATAAGGTGAACTGAAACAGTCTCAGGTCAGTATATTGCCATTATTACATACATAGTCTGTTAGATTATATTTGACCTACATTGCTTAGTGTGCTTGACTTAAAAAAAATATTCTCACTTTTTAAAAAAATGCATACACAATCAGATACAGTAAAACAGAATGAAGAGATATAACCCAATTGAAAATTCTAGAACGAGGCATTGGCTTAGCGACAGCCATTTTGCAAGTATCGACACATACAATATGGGCACATTACGTCGATTTGGAGTTTTCGGACTTCTTTGTTTCTTTCATTTAGCAGGTATACTAAGTTAAAGAAAAATTAAGTTGGTTATGTAGATTATTTATAATATGAAACATTGTCTTAGTGAATAAAAATCAATATTGGTGTATGGACACGGATGAACACGTTCGTCAACATCTCAGCGAGGTCTTTTTTTTTTGAAGACATTTCTTCCTTTTACGGCAACACATGGTTGTGAATATTACTTAAATACACTGGTCTTGCAAATACATGTAACTTTAGATTTAACTGCGGAGGTCGGCGTGATCGAGTCGGTAAAGCTCATGATTGCTAGACCGAAAAGTCACGGGTTCTAACACTCTAGCAATCCCAAAATGAATCATCCTTCTTGTTCACCGTTTTTAGTGTTGGTAGGGATCGAGCCATATCTGCCAGAGGGTTTGAACTCGAGACTTTTTCGAACTTTAACAACCATGAGTTTTTTTTGCCGAGTCGACCACGCCTCCAACACAATTAAGTATACGTGTCAACTGGTTATGCGCCATTGAGGCAATTGACTCCGATTTGAGCCTGCTTTTTTTTTTGGATTTGCTTCCATAGCCTTTGTCCAACCAAGAACAAACTACAAGGCAGCAGTTGTTTGATTTCGGAGTTGTCTCTCCTAGAAGATTGGTTGTCACCAGCTAACGAGCCTCATCAATCAACTGCTACCTTGTAGTTTGTTCTTGGACAAAGCAGACTGAAATCGGAATTAATGTTCTATCTGACACGTGAAAATAATTGTGCTGGGGCGAATCCCCTCATATATAAAAAAAAATAAGACAATTAACAAGAAAAATAATCAAACTGCAAGTAATTTTGACGCAGAAAAGAGTCAAGTTGTAATATTTTTTTATATTTATGCATTCTAAATATTTATTAAATTGTGAAGAAATGAATACCTATGTTTTCCTTTTATTTACAGCCAGTAATCCTTCTAATGTAAAGGTCAGTATAACCTGCTAAACAAAGATTTTTTAAAAGTAATAGAATATTTAGTGAGGAGGAATCAGTGTCATTATTTACTTGTCTGAAAAAAAAATCATAACGTTTCTTTTGTTTTATATATTTGCTTCAATATTGAAATATTTCACGTGTTTGAATTTTATATTTCGGTTACCTGTTTGAAATCTTGTTGTTTCCTATCAGGCTGATCCATACATATCTGCTTCCCCGGCCACAATTCGGCTTGGTCTAACCCAGAGCCTCAGTGTTCGATGTGATATCCCATCAGGGTGGGGGTCCATCGACTCAGTCATCCTCTCACAAGTCGACGGCAAAGCGGTACATCCTCTGGCAGAGATTACACCCACCATTGGCGTTATCAGCACCCTAGCAGCTGAAGACGCTAAAGTCACTGGAGCTTTGAGCCCCGCAGGGAACTACCTCCAAGTGACGTGGAGTTTTCCTCAGGTAGCGACGTCAGGAGTGTACTCCTGTGAAGGCGTTGGGACAAACTCTCTTGGGAAGAGCGTGTCGTTTTCCGTGCAAGTCCGCGTCTCGACAGAATACGCAAGCCAGCCTGAATACGTTAATGAGATAATCACCTTACACAAACAACAACAACAAACGGCACAGCTTTTAGCGGATGCGTATGCGGCAGGTAATGCAACGCAACGTTTGTTAGATAAAGCCGCGAGAAGAATTCGACAGATTAATGACAACTGCGAGCCTGTAGTTGGGACTGGATGCAGCGATCCAAGCCTCCCTGTAGGTCAACACGTGATAACCGTAACACCAAACGACGGCCTCGGCGGTATCAAAGTTCTGTGTGACGTCAGAGTTCCAGGAGATGGGTGGACCGTATTCCAGAAAAGATTTAACGGAAGCGTCGACTTTTATGAAGATTACGCAGCGTACGAGAACGGTTTCGGGAACGTCGATGGAGGAGAGTTCTGGCTGGGGTTGAAGAATATCCGCCGTCTGCTGTTGGAGAATAACGACGAGAACACGCTCCGGATTGATATGACGGAGCAAGGTACCGGGTTCAACTTCACTAGAGTCTACCCCGTCTTTATGCTGGGAGACGAGAGCGGATCTTATACTCTGTTCTTGGACGGATACGACGACGGCGGCACCGGTATGTCCGCCAACTCCGGCGCCAGATTCTCAACATACGACAAAGACACGTCCGGAGGTTGTCCGTCTTCGCTGCGTATCGCCGGCTGGTGGTTCGAAACCGGATGTGGCTACGTCAACCTGAACGGGTTGTACGGACTTTCAGGCGGGGAGGCGTCGATGTTCTGGTACGAAATTTACAACCACCCCCGTCACTCTATGAGCAGGACGGAGATGAAATTCAAGCGTCGCCAAGTGCCCACTGTCCACTTTTAGACAGTAGTTGTATTTCTTAATTAAAAGTTCTTGTATCACACTGTTTTTACAAAAGTTTTTTTGTTACGCAGTTAGAGATGTTTTTGTCACGTCGTAGAGAGCTTTCTTGTAACACAAAAAAGTTCTTTGTCACAGATGAAATTTTCTTTTGTCGCAAAGTTTAAGTTCTTTTGATTCTTGGTTAAATTTTGTTTGTAAAATCTGCTGGGTTCTTTTTTTGTGTCTAGGGAATACACTTAGTACAGAACTACACAAGATGTACAATACAGTACAATAAACTCGATAATAATAATAATAAGTTTAATATAAAAAAGATACAAAATACGTCACTATGATAAATTCTTAACACTCCAGCACACCACACGCCAAGCGCTTGAGTGGAACCCCCAGGGAAAGCGGAAGAGAGGGCGCCCAAGACAGACCTGGAGGCGGAGTCTTCTTAAAGAACTGAAGCCAACAGGGATGTCTTGGGAGATGTCAAAATTAATAGCCGAGGATAGGAAGAAATGGAAGGAAATGGTGGAGGCCCTATGCTCCATAAGGAGCAAAGAGGACTAAGTCAAAGTAAAGTCAAGTCACACCACACCATGCCCACTTACTGTCTAGCTCTCAACCAACTGACACACACCAACACACACTCTGTCACCCGTCAGCTGTCAACCATCACGTGAACACTTATCGCTCCATAACACAACTCACACAACCAAGGGCTACAACCAAAAACAAGGGGATACAAACAACTATGTACAAACAGAAGGTTCTTGTCATTCCATAACACAACACAAAAACACACACAATAATGGGACGGACTTAACAAAATCTGTTAGGTCCAACCAAAGAACCAAGATGTACATAGCCGCTGCTACTGACTCGAGGTATTAGATTTAGTTACTGTTTTGTGAGAGAATAACAAAATCTGTTTGGTCCAACCAAAGAACCAAGATGTACATAGCCGCTGCTACTGACTCGAGGTATTAGATCTAGTTACTGTTTTGTGAGAGAATAACAAAATCTGTTTGGTCCAACCAAAGAACCAAGATGTACATAGCCTTTGTTACTGACTGGAGGTGTTAGATCTAGTTACTGTTTTGTGAGAGACTAAACAAAATCGGTTTGGTCCAACAAAAGAACCAAGATGTACATAGCCTTTGTTACTGACTCGAGGTATTAGATCTAGTTACTGTTGGAGTTAATCCTCGTAAGTATCCATTATTAACAGCAAAAAAAAAAATAAAAAAAAATAAAAAAAAAATAATTAAGCGGATGCCAATTACAGAAAAAGTGACAGAAAAAAGGAAGTTCCAAACAGGTAGAGCTCTCTTCCATGTATTGCAAATTATAACATAATTATCACCCCTGTTATACAATCTATATCTATATATATATAATTCTCTTCTGGGAGACGTTAGAAAACAACCTGCAAGCGCGCGCCTTGCAGTTCCCTCTCTTCCTCTCTATCGCTACCACCCCCCCCCCCCCCACACACCACCTCACCCCACCCCTCCCCCCTCACATGGTCAGGTGAGTTGTAGTTCACGCTAAATGTTTACAAAACAATCGTAGAGCATGGTTTGGTGACGGCTATTAGGGGCAGATAATTCAGTTTGAAACTATTTTAAACTTAGAGGAGGTAACTAAGAGAAGGCGGCTTTCACAGGGGGGGGGGGGATGGGGGTTTAGTGTTTTAAAGCAAATATTTTCAGTGACAGCATTGGTACTGTCGAATTCACAAATTATGAATTACTGAAAAGTAGAAAAAACAACTAAATAGCGGCGTATGATACGCCGCGGGTCGGCTAGTATTATATAATTCTCTTCGTGGATAACCTAGAAAACACCAAGCTGTAAGCGCGCTAGCACCCCCCTCTCTTCCTCTCGAAACATATCCCTACCACCCCCAGCCCACATGGTCTGGTGAGCTGTGGTTCACGCTAAATGTTTACAATCGTAGAGCTGGGTTTAGTGACGTCTATTAGGGGTAGATAATTTAGTTTGAATCAATTTTAAACTTAGGGGAGGTAACTAAGAGGGGGCTGCTTTCACGGGGGGGGGGGGGGGTGTAGGGTTGGGGTTGGGGGAAAGGAGGGGGTTATCGTTCTTAACGACCTACTGATAGTGTTTTAAGGCAAATATTTTCAGTGACAGCATTGGTACTGTCGAATTCACAAATTATGAATTACTGAAAAGTAGAAAATAAAACAACTAAATAGCGGCGTACGCCGCGGGTCGGCTAGTCAATAAAAAATAGTGATTGTGGGCAAGACCGAGTTGACGAGAATCCTTCCAATATTATTGTTGGCAGGGTGAAAAAAAATCATGTTTTTTTTTGTTTTTTTTTTTTAGATTTTGCAATTAAAGCGGCCGTAAACAAACAACAACAAAAAAAAAAAAAAAAACCTTAAGTTTGAACATAATTAAGAAATCTAAAATTTCTAGAATGGAAGTTATAGAAGTTGCAGATACAGAGAACTTGAAAAAATATTTAAGGCTTAAGGCCGTTCTTTTTATTTTCATTAAGTAGAAGTTATAATGTGAAGTTTCACTATTGATTCTTTAAGAACTCCGTGATCGATATTCCGAAACCCACACTTCATAAAAAAACTCATAGTAATTAGTACTCAAAACTTTTCCGATACAATTTTTAAATAAATTCGTTTTGAAATCAAATGTTTAGTTTAGCCATTTTTGTTTTTAATTTCTGTGATAATTGTGAGCAGTTAAATTGGCATTGGCTTTTTAAAAAAAATTGTTGAGTTACTGATAATGCTTAAAAACTTCAATTACATCTTTAATAAAGTCCAATAAAAATCAGTCAGATTTTTATAGCTATATTTATTTTAATAACATCATATACATTTAAAAAAAATGGATTTTTAGAAATATTTCAGGACGATTCTCGGTTGAATCCATTCAGTGTGTGAAACCATGTAGCAGCATATTTTTAAAATCCGACTATAATTCACTGAATTTTAAGTTTTTATCTACTCCTTTTGGCGCACATAAGTGTTAGTGTTGGCGCCCTGGGTGGGCCACTTCCCCTCGCTCCCTCCTCTGTTACGCCTCTGTCCAACCTCACCTCAAAATTACCGTTATTTAAATGCACACAACGCCCAAGTATTAACCAAAAGTCAAACATTTGGAAGTGGGGTTTCAGATCAAGATAGACAACTCTAGAGTTCTAAAACTAAGTTGCGTTCAAAACGCGTGCGCTCCCCTTAATACTAGTCTGTTGAAAAAAAAAAGAGTGATTCGAAAGTCGACATACCTGTCCTATTTTCTAAGTGCATGTATGCGTAAATCTATATTTAAATATACATCCACAAGCACACATCCACCCCACACCCACACTCCTCACAAACATCAACACCCAAGCATACACCCACACCGAAACCCACACACAACCCCCCCCCCCCCCCACACATCTCCCCATATGTGTGTATATATACATCCATCGCTCACTGAAATTGAAAAAATAATAATTTATATTTAAAATATATACTGTATCGATTGTCCCACCCCCCCCCCCCCCCCCGATAATTTAAATCCGCTCCCATCCTAGAAAATTTTAAGCGTCAACACCTGCCCCCCTTTTCCGGATAAAAATGCCTGAAAGAAAAACTGTACATACATTATCCCCATTGAGTATACCGATGGTAGTAAATGCTTGCAACATCTTTGTTAAATACTGCCTTGCGACGTTCACCGAAAGATGATGTTGATTAAGTTGCAGAGGATACCTAAGTGTATTGATGAAATAGGAGATCAAGGGAGGCAGTTAATAAATTAAATTCCAAGAATTTTATTAAAACTGTTTAAGCTAACCAATAAACAAACAAAATATTATTTCACTATAAGGCGAACTAGGCGGTGCCATCCCGAGGGGGGCGCAAAAGGTTTAATCGTTATTATCGAAAATTACCTAATAATTGATAACTTTTATAAAGGAGTAGCGATCTATTTCGGCACCCAGGACAAACTATCAATTTTGCACCCCCACCCCAAAATAAACCGGGAGTGATCTCCCCTAAGCTTTCTCGAATATTCTTAAATAAAATAACAGGGGATGGGAACTCGGGCTATAGACATGATTTTTAATCCATTTTAAATACCTAAAGTTTTAAAAATAGAATAAAATCTCTTAGACAAATTAATTGCACACCAAGTGAACGCCAAATAAAAAAGCGCATAATAGTGCGCAATATTATTAGTACTTTTAAAATTTACATTAGTTTTTTGAGAAATCGGAAGTAGCGTAAATTACTACTTCCGGTCAACGGAAATTACTCAAAATTTAACAGAAGGTAGAGAATTAGATCTTTTACTTACATGTGAAATTTCATTTATCTATCTGAAATAGTACTCAAGTTATAGGCTTTTGAAAAATTCAAAGTAGGAAAAGTACCACTTCCGGTTATCGGAAATCGCTCAAAAGTTGATACGGATCTACGATTTTGATAAAATACTTATATATGAAATTTCATCAACCTAGCTGTAACGGTACTCAAGTTATCGTGTTTACACACGGACAGACAGACAGACACACAGACAGACACACAGACAGACACACAGACAGACACACAGACATACGGACAAGATTGCAAAATTATGTTTTTCCGTATCAGTGAGGTGTAAAACGTCGAGATTTGTAAAAATCTTGATTTTTTTTTTTTTGCACGATTACAAGACTTTCTCTATACTTCGTATATACGAGAAAGTAATTAGGTCTATATAGGCCTATATTTTATTCGCGATGGTGAAAATGAAACCCCACTTCCCTAAGTTGGAAAGGTCGGGGCGCTTTTTACCAGTCACTTTGCCCTTTTAATTTGGTGTCACATAATTGATGTAGAAAACGATTAAATAAGTTTGTAATTTAAATTTCGAACATTTTAATAGGGATAGGGCTTGTAAGTCTCGTTTTCTCTGACTTTGAATTAGAAATCTGTCCTGGTGTATAGAGTTTTGTAATGACGGGGTGTTCAAAGTATTGTCACTTATTTGGTAAGTTTTGATAACTCGTTTAGTTTTAGGATCAGCGGA